TCCTCCACCTGCTCTGCTGGCCTCTCCTGAAATGCAGATCGCCTCCAGGCCGCCGCGTCCGGCGCCTGCCCTTGTCACACACCAGTTCCCGAACCGAAGCCATCGCTCCGTTTGTGCGCACACGCCCCTGGTCTCAGAATTTGGTACGCGGTTGTTCCGCTCTACCCAGTCTGCCCATCCACACCGGCCCCCCACCTTTTTACGTCCCTAACTCTCCACATCCAAAAACCCCTTTCCGAGACCTTGTTTGTCGCCGGATTACATTGCAGTGTCATCTTAATCGGACCTCCCGCCATGAGGCTTCTCCCTCTGGCTACAGTGTCTGTTTGGTGCTGTCGACAAAGTTACCTTTCTGAGTCCGTCCTGATAATAGCCGAAATGTGTGCAGCGCTTCTCACGTGCTGATGCACGCGCCCCGCTGACGGCTCTACGCACACAGAAGCGCGTTCGCCCCCCGAATCGACCGTGGGACAGACATAGCACCGATGCTAACAGGGTTAGTGACTTGCCCAAAGCCACGCAGCCGGTGGGCGGAAGTGGGATCATGTCACCTCTCGGTGCCTGCTCACCGGCCCTGCTTGACACTGCCTGTGATTTTTCCCCGTCGCCTCTGTCCTACAGTTCCAAACCTCTCTCCCAAGCCGGGCAGGTCCCCTCAGAGAGGGGCCACGTCTCCCCTTTCTTGCTTCATCTACGCTCTGCCTAGTTACGATTTCACCATATTTCCTAGAAACACCGTGCCCTTCCCCACCGTTCCCAGCTTGGGGTCCCATAGAAGACATTTAAGAAGTTTCAGGTCGAATGAAAGGGATCGGAAACTGAGTAACATTGCAGTCGTACAATCGACGGCTTTTAAGTAAACGTGTGCCACACTTTCTGCCTCTCCGAGGCCCGATTTTCCTGGAAGACAGCGAGCTTCCAGGAGCGGGGTCTGTACTTTAACTTGTCGCCCGAGTGCCTGGCACTATACCATTCACGGTGTCTGTGTGGCGGCCAGGCCTGGCTGTCAGGAGGGGCCTCCGTGCAAAATGAGACTTTTCAGAGGCGCCCTTCAAAGTGCTATCAGTCCGCTCATGGTGAGGTGACCGTCTCGATTCTACACATTCCTGCCTCCTACTCCACCCGGCACGTGTCCTCCGTCTGTCACGGAGAGGGCAAACAAAAGGCCACGTATTCCCCTGAGGTCCAGACTAGAGAGATGGGACATAGTTCACGATGTCCGGCAGACCTTTCCCGCGTCTGCCTCCTCCTCCTGCAGCGCGGCCCGCCGCGTGAGCGCTGGACTTGGGACACGAGAGAGCCTGGTGGGCATTAGGTCACGAGGAGCTCTTTTGGAGCCGAAACAGGTGTGGTGGCAGAGCACGCAGAGCTGCCGAGACAGGGAAATGGCAGGGCGGGGTAGGCACCTGTCCCGGCTTGAGTTCTATCTCGCATTGTCTGCCTCTGTGCGTCTGTTTGAAGAGGTCCAGGTTTCCACCAATTCATGTCCATCGCCTCCTTCGATTTCCAGTTCAAAGCTCAGAACTTACGTGCTCTTGGAAACTTTCCCAGACCAGTTCGACCTGACAGATCACTTATCTACTTTGCATCTCCCGAACCTCTATAAACTTCATCTGTGCCTTTTCTTTGCGTGAGGGCATATTGTCTCCCCACCTAGATTCTAAGCTGGTTCACAAATGTGTATTGAGCTTTTACTGTTAGGATGAGCGGATACCTCGAAACCTTGGGCACATAAAAATGACCATAAACCACAGGACCAGATGACCGAGGAGGGCCAGCTAAAGGACCGGTGCAGTGGTAAAAACACCATGACCTTAAAGCGTGCATCTAGAGAGGCCAGGGTCATTCACTCTATTACTGTGGGAGCATTCAAGTGTACCTTCGTCGAGAGGAAGAGCAAGGTGGGCTTAGGGAATGGAAGACGCCGGTCGGCGAAGAGGACTTACAGGGGGCCCCCGAAAGCCACCGTAGTCGTGACTTAATTATGAACAGATGTGGCAGAATGCGGGGCGGGTCACGGGCCTTTTTCCCACTTGCGGTCCCAGAGTGTACGGTCTCGGCCGGCTCCCCACTTGGATTGTTTTCCTCTACGAGGGCACAGGGGTTGGTTCTTCTTCCATCTTTCGCTGCCACCCCCCACTCTTCTACCTGGGTGCCACCCCCCCAAGCCTGCTGCCAAACCGGCTTTATTAATTTGCATCGCAAGACACATTTCCCCGCTTTTTTCTTGCCCTGCCCAGCTCTGAAAAAAACACACACCCCCCACCCAGGGTTGGCACAGGATTTTCGCTAGTAATTACAGGGAGAGATGCAAAAGTTAACGAAAATAGCCATGAGAAAGTTCAAGGAATCTCGGAAAACACCACCTCTACTTGTCGCCGGCCTTCACAGACGTGTATGAAACATACGTATTTTTAGCAGCCTTCGTCCCTAAGCCCTCCCTCGTGGGTTTCCGTGGAACATCTCTAGTCTTTCTCTTAGAAGCCATTATCACCCTCCCACCCCGTCGTTGTTTTAAAAACATCTTTTCAGTTAGTAAACATTTCTCGGGAGTCTCCTGTTTTCCAGATACCACGTAGAACGCAGCCCAGACTGAAGTCCTCAGGTTTGGCCCCAAGTCGATTTCACCTGTCACCACTACCAAGTTCAAGGCAATGTTCAGTCCTTTCTGGACCCTGGAAGCCAGTCCGATGCAGTGAAAAGAGTACTAGATTGAGTCAGGAGACCCGAGTACTTGTCATAGTTCTGTCGCTGACTAGTCGAATAATGAACAACTCACACTACTATTAATAAGTAACGTTTCTTGAGTTTTCATTCCGCAGTCAGGCACTGTGCTGAGTGCTTTACATGAATCGTCGATTGAATCCGCATGACGACCATGTAAGTTACATGCTAGTAATATTTTCATCTCCCTTAGGAAAATGGGACTTAGAGAGGGCGAAGGGACCTACTTAAGGTCTGTTGTCACTAAGTCACTAAGGGGTAGAGCAGAGTTACAAATCCAGGCAGTCTGCCTCCGTAGCCTACACGAGTCACCCCTTCTGGCTTTGGTTGCATTGGGTTAAAATGAGAAAGTCGTGTTGGGTGATCTCTAAAGTCTCTCCCAGCTCAAAAATCCTGTCTCTTGTGTTCTTCCATCTGGGGACGAGACCCCAGAGTGCCCTCTTGACCTTTCCCTTCGCAGCCACACAAGTTCAGTCCTGGTTTGACATTCCTACTGGCACACGTGCCAGAGTTATTGACCAAAAGTTGCCAATACGTGAAAACACGCTTGTATTTCAAAACTACATGACAAGAGCACATGCTCGTAATCTTGTTTAAAATGCATTCAGAAAAGATAGGGAGAGATGCCAAAAAGTGTTAACAGCGGTTATCTGTTTTTCTTTTAAGTTTCTGATAGTTTTCCAACTTATTCTGACTGTGCATAACTTTTAAACTGAGAAAAATGCTTTGTATTTTGCCTCTTTCTAGATGGGATTTGAGGCACTTTATTTTTAAAAAAACATGCAAACGTCATAAGATTATAGAAATAGAACATCAGAGGCACAGAAAGGAAGAGGGAGCTGATGTGTGGTCACTTTTGGGGCTGCCAGCGGGGGGCGGGGGGGGCGCGTTATCAGAAAGAAAGATACATAGCAATTCCTCAAGAGACACAGATTTTCCTGTCACTAAATTCGCCCACCCACCCCATTCCCTCACCATTGAAAAGACTGGGCTACAGCAAAGAAACGTTTTTGAAAAAACAAGACATTTTGAACCCCATGGCCCTCATACGATTAGAGTCCGTATGCCATTTCGTGTCCTGTTT